GCGCGAGCCGCCGCGCGCAGCCCGAGCAGTTTCCGGGCGCGTTGCCTGGACGCGGTTGCCGTGGCAGCCCGAGCTGGAGGCTTTCCCCGCGCACCCGCGCCCAGCCTGGCGGCGCCGCCCCTCCTCCCTCCGCGTTCCCACACCCAAAATAGCCTCTGCTCGTCGCTGCTGTTTCCCACAGAGCTCTCCTCCAAGCGACTTGGAGTTGGCGGGCGGGGATTTCGCTTATTGGAAAATAAATCCTGTTGTAGGGCTGGTTGACTTCAAGGGAGAGGTGTTGAAATGGTGCCTGATTAAGATAATAGCCATGGTGGCTGCACTGTAATTCTCTTTCTGAGCCCTAACATCCCTTATTTACCGAACCACTTTCCCACCAAAAGCGTTATCTCCCCCACCCTCTTCTAAATCGGGGCGAAGTTCTTCTCTCAGGCCACTGCCCGGGGAGACAGCTCGCGTGCTGAAGCTCCTCTTGTGCAGGTGAACTAACCCTCGCGGCTGCCAAGTGTCATTTGATGAATCGCCTCGACACCAGTCTCTGGAGCCAGATCGTGTCTCACTATAACAGACACGATGCAAGAAACAACTGCTGCCATCCCTCTTCTCTACACCATCCCTCCCTTCTCGCTCAGTCTCACTCCTTTCCCCCCTCCCACCCCCTGCCATTCCTTCCTCAATTGGATTCGGAGCAGGATGCACCAGCTGATGCTCTCAATTTTGCTTCCTCTATGTGGAAGGGATTTAGAGTTGGGAACCCACACTTTTGCTGGACTCGAGTTCAGAACTCTTTCATATCGCTTGTATTTACCGATGGTGGATGTTCCTGTCTACCTCCCCCACAAGTACTAGCCCCTCCAGGCCAAGGGAAGGCTCATGATGTGTAAAAAGATCCTGGGTTGTGAAGTCAGACTGAGCTATTTTGGACTCCTCTCACCAGTAGTTGCTATTTCACAGCTGTTTCCACCTAATATATTGGCTAATAGCTCCCACAAAAGGCTAATATATAGGTAACATTCATTCAGTTAGTAATATTTTGGGGATGCCTGTCAAATGCTAGAAACTACGCTTCGCTCTAAGACAATGGTGAAAACACCCCTCTCTGCCTTCATAGAGCTTACAGCTTGAGACCCATTCATCAAATAATCAGTGTGAAACCACCATTGTGACAAGGAGAGTGCATGACCTTGAGAGCTGTGACCGTGTGGATCTAACCTAACTGCAAGCCTTTAGCATTTTTTGCAAAGCTCCATTTCTTCTTTCCTTTACACCACTTGGTATGCACACAGTAAACACACACTGACTTGAATCCTATGTCATGGAAATATCAATATTATTCAATCTCCCTGTAACTTTCTGCCATTGAAAATGAATTTTTAAAAAAGATTTATTTATTTATTTGTG